CTCTTTCAAAATTTGTTCTAAGACCTTGCACACGATTGAGGTCAAACTAGTTGCAGATCTATTTTTGTTTATCCTTCCACTATTCCCAACTGTTCCATAGAACCATTATAAAAAAATTCTGTATTTCAAGAGACATACTAAAAGTAGATGCTTTCAAAAACATAACCAACTCATCATTTCTGTGTCCTTTCCTGCTCTCTTAACCTCCAAAAGTAATTAATCTACTTTCAGGACTTGCAGAATCCCATATTTCAAAATATGCCAGATTTTGCTTTAGAACAGGTCTGTTGTCCTCGTTTGAATAATGATCTGAAACATTTAATCAAACCTCAAACAAACCCAAACTATACCTAAGATTAGCTAAATGCCTGGCTTGTGCAAAGTCACCCAGCATATAGTCAGCTGCTGGGATCACTATCATTTACTAATCAGCACTGAAGTGTGGATCCTGAAGTTTCAGTTAAACAATAACATTTAAAACAAGGGAGGTTTATTTTAGTAACTAATTAGGATGGGTGACTAAGAATAACAAGAGTGATCAAGAAGAATAACTAACTGGAATTACAGAAACACCGTTTTCTGTAAGTTCCTGGACTCGGGTCAGAACTCTGTATCTCAGAAATGATGTATTGAAGCATTGGCAGTATTTTAGTCAGTTAGCTAAAGCGTTGCATGATGCAAATGCAAAGGAGGTGCAGCTATCAATTTCTGAACTTCCCTGGAAGATGTTCTGGGTTTTTAAACCATTCGGAAGATTCCATTCCTAATCAGTTATAGGATTTACCTCTCAGTCAGAGCCAACCATTTGGTTTTCTGGAACATAACTTGCAGAGCCTTAGCCACCTTTCTTATTATAAGTCACTTGGGTTTCCTAGCTCTAGTAAGGCCTTTTCTGCCTGGCTGTGATCCCATGTCCCAAAACTGTGATGATCACCCTCTCAACTATTCCCCCCCCCCCCCCCTTTATCAAATCCAACAGGTGGAGCAGAAGAATGCAGGAAAATGTACTCATGTGAACAGTCCTTACTTAGATGAGTAAAGTTTGCAGGAGGAGGGGCTTAATGCCTGCACAACCTGAGACAAGACCAATCATTGGGAATTGAAGATGGCAGTCAGTGGATATTGGGTTTAGTACATGTGGTGTAAAGGAATGGAACACATTCTTCAGCTGCATGGGCCTAAGACTCCCATACCACATTACCAGTGCATGTTTTATGCAAACCTAAGTACCCAGCTGACAGTCAATAGGAAGGTGTGACCCTCCTTTTCATCTCCAGTTAGCTCTGTAAACCTACACACAAACCTAGTGTTACTTCATTTTTTTACTGTAATTTAGGACATCACTAATGACACACACACAAAAATCCCATACTTTCCTTCCTCATAACTTTTTGTTGGGTCCTCATTATGGATCTTCCCTTGCCCCACTGTGTCTGTCTCATCTGTCCAGATTGTTAAGTACTTTGACAGGGTATGTCTCTTACTATATGTCTGTACAGTGTACAGTGGGACATCAAGGTGAACTGAGTCTTCTAAATGTTACTCTAATACAGTGGTCTCCAACCTTTTTTCACCCAAGATCACTTTTTAAATGACAGACCAAGCCAAGATCTACCGCCCCGTCCCTTCCTTGAAGCCCCACCCTCTCTATTCTCCTCCTCTCCATCACTTGCTATCCCCAATCCTTATACTGCTACTTAAAAAAAAAAATTCCCACCATTCCTCGCAGCTACTCACCTGTGCTGTTGCTCAGTGAGTAGCTGCTCCTCCAATGAGGAAATCTAATGTAAATGTACTGTGCAGGCGCGCAGTTCAGAGAGGGCTCAAGAGCTACTCTTAGAGCCTCCGAGATCTACCAGTATATCGCGATCTACTGGTTGGTGACCACGGCTCTAATACAAACAATGGTGACAGCTGGGATCATCTGTACAGTCCATGGCAATTAACCACTTTTCTCCTCAAACCTCGCCCCTTACCATAAAGATAGAAACGTAACCAGTTTCCTCAGAGGTTTCCAATACCAGTGTAACATGGAGGCTATAACACACCCTTAGGAGTCTTCTCAAAACAACTGTTTAATAAATGTTTTCAATAATTAGTAGTGATTCAAATTCCACGTTTTTTTAAAGTACAAGAGTTTTGTTGGTAGAACTGTTCTAAGTGCACTATAATTGTTTTAAATGCAGGTCAGAAGGATTTTCCCTGATCTTTTGAACAGTCTTTAATTTTTACATCCTCATTCTGTATGTTACATACTTTGTACTGTGTTTTGTTTCCTTTATTACTTTTGTGCTGTGCTCTGCTCATGTTTTCTACAGTTAACACTTTACGCTGGTGATAAATTGTTTTGCATTTATTAGGTTGGGTAGAAAAAAAAGACAACTTTCAGATAAAGTTATACTCTGTTATCTATGCTACAGGACTCAGAGAATAATATGTTGCTTTAAAGAAATCTTCTTACTGTTATGTGATAATATTACATGTCCCTTAATACATTTGAAAACATCTTCTTTTCACCTCCTAGTTCTACAAATATATCTTGGATCGCCACAATCTAAATAGACTGGCACATGCTTGTTTTCCACTACAGTGCAAATTGAAGCTCCATACACCTACATTCTTCTCTTCTTGTGCTTTCCTCTTTCAACCAGAAACACGTACAAGTCACACATTAGAATTCATAGGTGAAGAAAGAGCCCAAAGGGCAGTAGAGACTTGTGGAAATTCTTGCATGTCACCCAGTATTTCATTTTATCAGATGATAATATAATATTGTCTTCCCAGTTGCTGATTCCTGTTGCTTTCCTCCACCACAGGGTGACCTGCAAATCTTTGTCTTAATTAAATCCATGCTTGAGACAAGTTTATATGACCTGAACTGT